CTCCAGAACTGTGAGACATAGATTCCTATTGTTTGAGCCTCCTGGCCTGTGCCATACTTTGTTATGTCAGCCTTACAAAACGAATACATGCTTTTATGTGCTTTTTTCTTATTCCCTTCACTACTATTTGAATATACACTTAATACCCTATCTTTTTGATTTTAAAAAGCAGTTGTTCTTGATCCTCTTCCATTGCCCCAAGAAAATGCTTAGTTTTCTCCTTTGTGTTTCCAGGGTATTTGCTCTGCTTTTCAATGTAAACTTAGTTACTAAAATAGATGGTGGGCTAGATTCGACCTGAGGACTGCAATTTGCAGACCCTGGGATTAAAGTACAGGGGAGGGGCACTGTCTAGTGACAAGACTGCAGATGGTGGGTTGGGAACAGTTGCTGTATGCAAAACTAAATAATTTGTCAAATAGAGTTCAGAGTTTTTTTCCAAAGACTAGTGTCAGAGACAGATATTAAATAATCACAAATAAATATATGATTATATACCAAGAAAAATGTGCTGAAGAAAATGATAGGATGCTATTAACAAGACAGAAAGTCTTTTTCTAATCTTGAAAATCCCCCAAATTGGAAAAAGTTCCCCTGAAGAAATGTCATTTGAGCTGATATCTGAAAGATGATAAGGAGTTATTTATGCAAGGTATAAAAGAAGATATTCTGTGTGTCCAGAGTCCCTGAAGTAGAAAAATGCTTGCCTTTCCTCCCAACTCCCACATGATATTGAAGAATGCTTGTGTGGTTATTATAAAGGAAGGGGAGACTGGAATGAGAAGAAGGTAGAGAGCCAGGCAAAAGGCTAACCAGGCATTTCTTTAGCTCAAGAACACTTGAAAAGCTATTGAGGGTTTTGAGCAATTGAGTGACATGAAAGATCACTACTGTGTGGATAATGGATTAATTAAAAGGGAAGAGAGGGCTGAATTTCCCTCACTGGTTCAGGAGTGCTGAAGAAATTTCTTATATGAGTATGTTTTGTTATGTGCGACATCATGTTGGATAATATCAGTCTTCATTAAAACCACGTATCTGCCATAAATTCACCCCTGTAAACCACCATAGTGACTGTTGCAGGATGACATCAGATTTGAATGTTAGGCATAACATTGTAAGTATAGTGAATAGCGTCCAAATTATCATCTAAGTAAGAACATCCACAGGACTCAGAACATATTTGGGACTCTCAGTTATGACAGAGTATACATTGGTGAGGACCAAGAGGAAGGCAGATTCCCTATCCTGGGCTAAGGGTTCTACAACTGGAATAAAAACTAGCATTCTGGTTATCATTTTCTATGTCATGATGATTCCCCAAATGAATGGGGAAAAACATTTTAGCAAGCTACCTTAAGATAGAAGATCTTCCTGGATTGCTTCCATCTCAGAATTCTGTGAGAAATCATGTAGCATATCCATTAACCGCTGAAAAGCCTGGACAAATGCTGGCCAGCTCCTTAAGGTGATGCTAGAAGAACCAAGAGGTGGTTGAAATGTATTGTCTCTTCTGTTTCCTTATCGCTCTATTTCCCTTTTTCTCTCCATGTGTAGGGAGATAAGAGAAGAGGTAAAAATTATGAAAAAAGTGAAGAAAACTTCGTTAAAGTTTTGAACACACATTTTAGGCTGGGGGAATTTGAGTGGATAGAAAGAAGTTAAGAACTTAATCCAGGAGGGAAGTAGAGAGGAACTTGGTCTGGGGTGGGAATGCAGAGAGGTGGACTGATTAAGAGATACTTAGGAAGTAAGAACAACAGGTTTAGCTAATGACTAGATTTAGAAGAAAAGCGAGGTATCAGTATGGGCTACAAGGTTTCAACCTTCTACAACCAGAGGATGGCTAAGTCATGTATTGTATTATGGAATATTGAAAGGAATATGCTTGATGGGGAGGCATGATATATCCAAATAAAGCTATCAAATGAACTGTTATTTATATGTGCCTATTGCTCAGAAGAGAGATCTCAAAATACAGATTTAGGATTTTTTTTTAAGTATTTTTTTTTTAAGATTTATTTTTATTTATTTATACAAGTACTGGGTACAGTCAGAAGCACCGGAGAGTGAGAGAATTCACCAGAGCCAGAGCGGGGAGCAGAGCAGGCAGAAGGACCGAAGCACACTGCTGAGGGGAGCAGCGGGCGGCAGGAGAGGTCTGTGCGCCATGTGGGACCCTCCTCCGGTGGCCGGGTTGCAGCTGGGGATTGAACCGGCGCTGCGGACTGCGGGCACCTTTGCAACCCAGCGCTCAATCGCTGCGCCACCTGGGAGGCCCTTTTTTTAAGTATTGTTTTATTTTTTATTTTTTTTAAAGATTTATTTATTTTATTTATGCAAGCACTGGGTATAGTCAGAAGCGTGGGAGGGTGAGAGAATTCACCAGAGCCAGAGCGGGGAGCAGAGCAGGCAGAAGGACCAAAGTACACTGCTGAGGGGAGCAGCGGGAGGCAGGAGGGGTCTGCACGCCATGTGGGACCCTCCTCCAGTAGCCGGGGAGCAGCCGGGGAGCAGCCGGGGAGCAGCCGGGGAGCAGCCGGGGAGCAGCCGGGGATCGAACCGGCGCTGCAGAGGCTGCGGGCAGCTTCGCAACCCAGCGCTCAACCGCTGAGCCGCCGGGGAGGCCCCAGATTTAGGGTTCTTTAAAGAAGGTTATAGAAGAGATCATCATTTTAGCCTTACTTAACTGCTTCCATTCCTTCAAACAGGACTCTGATACTGGGAGTCATTGCCTGGTAATGACATTCCATAGAGTGGCCTGACATGGACTTAGCATAAGACTTAGCTCAAGACTTATCACTTTGAAACTTTTCCTGAGAATCAAAAATTCTCTGTGCTTCCAGAGTGCTGTTGTATGCCCCCTGTTCCCTTGAGATTTACTTTAAACCCAACTGTTTCTTCCCTATTCAAAACCTTCTGATGGATTTTTCAATGCACTTAGAATAAAATCCAAACTTTTTATTATGTTGTATAAAGTCCCTAAAATAATCTGATACCTGCTATATTTACAACCACTACAAGAAATCACATTATAACAATAGTCTGTTATAATAGAGAATTTTTCCAAACACAACAGGAAAATTTGAATAATCAACATTGTATGAACTGCACTGATGCTAAGAAGTGGTGGCAGAGGTAAAGGATCTCCTTCTGTTAATCTCTTTGTACTGTTTCAATGTAACTTTTAGAAAATTTAAAATGACACTATATGGCTTGCAATGGGGATCAGATGTGAAGATTAGAGAAAAGGATTATAGAGTGCCCAACAAGGATCATAAAATAATGGATATTCTGTTAATTGTAACTGTAGTGGTTATTATCATCTTTCTGAGAGTAGAGGTCTGGTCTTGCTCAGAGTTGGGCTCTATTTAGAATTTAGTATTGCCTTGTACATAATAGACACTTAGTACATATGATTGATTGAATATATAGTAAATTAGTCAGATACAAGATTAATTATTCCTTTGTGTACATGTTTAGAATAAAAGTAGTGACTATATGTTCTTGAGAACATATTTATTTTTTAATGGAATACAGAAATTTTTTTCAGGCACAAATGCTAATAAATTTAATAATAAATTTAATAAAAATTTATTTTTTAAAAAATCTTTTTAAATTAATGAAGTACCATTGTTTTACATCATTGTTAATATTTTGACAATATAGGATTTCTCCCCTCAGGTGGGGTAACCATAGCTTTCCCACCACCACAGTACCCATAGTCTTCCAGCATAGTCTGCTGTGCTCACTCACTCCTCTCACTCCCCTCGCTCTCCTTCCCTAAGGGTCTCCTTAGCTTCTTGGATGCCTCAGATCTATGGTCAGCTTTCAAGGATTGGTTTTAAAGTTTGTCTTTGTCTGATCCTTCGTTTGTTTCTTTAAGTGATACCATCAAGTATTTATCTTTCTGGGCCTCCCTGGTGGCCCAAGATGGTAAACACAGCACTGTGAAGTTATCTGCAGCCACTGCAGCACAAGTTCGATCCCGGCCTGCCAGGGAGCTACCCACATGGCACAGCAGACCTCTCCTGACTCGCCTGCTGTGTAAAACCACTGTAATTTGAATTGTTTTCCTAATTTCCTTTGCAGATAGTTGATTGCTCACTGAAATTCAAGTGATTTTTGTATGTTGATTTTATATCTGGTAACTTAATGAGTTCCTTTATTAGTTCTAATAAGTATTTTTTGGAGTTTTTTGGGTTTTTCTCCATATAAGATCATGTCACCTGTAAACAGCTTTATTTCTTTCTGCTCTAGATGAATTTCTCTCTTTCTTTCATAATTGCTCTTGTTAGGACATCCATACTATGTTGAATAGAAGTGGCAAGAGGGGCCATCTTTGCCTTGTTCTTGATCTTAGAGAAAGGCTTTCAATTTTTCACTATTGAGAATGATATTAGCTGTGGGTTTTTCATATGTAGTCTTTATTATATAGGGATATTTTTTCTGTATTCCTGTTTTATTGAAAGCTTTTATCATGAAAGTATCGAATTTTATCAAATACTTTTTCTGCATCTATTGAAATGATCATGTGATTTTTTTAATCCTGCATTTTTTTTAACATGCTGCAACACATTGATTTTTACATGTTGAATCATCCTTGCATCCTAGAAATAAATCCCACTTCATCATAGTGTATAATGGTAATATTTTTGAGAGATTTGTAAGCATTCTATTACTTGCAACATAACTTGAGATTGGACCTCAAGGCTTTGTTTTGTTTTTAATATCCAAATATCGGTAACCTGAAATTTGAAAGAATCCAAAAAATATTTGAAAGAAAAGCATCCTTACTATGTATTTTGGTTATATTCTTAAAGACCACTTGTTTTAAAATTCAAAGAATATGAATTTATGTGTTTAAGTAAAGTTTTTATTTAAATCTATGTTAGTTTTTAATCTGTATGATGAAAAACACATTAAAATTACTCATCTCTGAAATATCTTGTGTGTGTATTTTTTTTTTTTTTGTATTTTGTGTTCTGAATATGGAGCAGTATCCCACTCTCAACAACAATGTTGAAAGAAGAAAAAATGTCAGTGCTATCTCCTGAAATCAGATTTGAGATTCCTGACATCACCCGAAATGCGTTTGAGAATTGTTTTCTTTTCGAGAGTAGTTGGAGGAAAGCAGTTTTAGGAACACAAAAGATGGAGAAAGGTAACTTCATTTTTATTTTATTCAGAAAACATAGAAACAATGCCTTGAATTTACCTATATTTTTAAAGCAGTGAAGAGAAATTTTGTAATTTCTACAAAGTTTATATAAAGATAATGTCGTAAGTTTATAGAGAAGAAAAATGGAAGCAAATTAAATTTAATTTAATTAATGTGGCTCTATAATGCATAATATAAATAAAATTTAAATACAACTTCTTTTGATTTCAGTATAGTATTATCTTTGTTGGATCATGGTACTATTCATAAATAGTATTTGTTTTTAAATACCTCCAGTTGGTTTTTACATTTAAAGAATCTTAATTAAGAGCATCTTTTTGTTTTAATGATTCTAAACAAAACTTTATTTTTTGAGTGAATTATGTGGAAAGTATCTTATATTCTATAGTTGCTCAATAAAGACTAGTTTGAGAACTTTTGACACAGGTAGATGAGTGTATTAATAGATTTCCCCCTTAATTTCTAGTTATAATTGTGTTTCTTATGTATTCTGAATTCTGTCTTTAGCTTAATTAATGGAGCTACAATTCTTTAAAATAGCAAAATTTAAGCCACTCAACCATTTTATCATACCTGGTTTTAAGTCTGTTGCTATATATATTTTTTCACTTTTCACTCAATTTCAATTAAAGATACTCACAAGACACTAATTTGTCCTACAACTCCCAAATATAATTGCTGAGAGAACCTATATTTTTTTTTTCATTAAGAGAAACTATTTTTTTCCAAAGGATGAAAAGCAAAGGTCACAAAATAACATTGTAAGCATTTACTATAACTCCAGTCCCATTAAATACTATTTTTATTTCTGTTTGAATTAGTAGAAAAGTTTAAAATGGTTCTTTTAAAAAATTATGCTTATTGAGGTAACATTGGATTATAACACTTTATATGATTTAGGGGTATAAATTCATCCCTCTACAAAGTCCATTGGGCTCCCTCCCCATTTTGCTTCCATCCTTTTGACTTCCTTCTCAGTTAGCCTCAGTTTTGCAGTCAGATTTTTAGGATTTGTTTTGTAAAAACAATTATTTATGTTTAGTGTAAAGATTACTGAAATATTTAATCTTTTAATTTTCTTTTTCCCTTTACTGCCTTTGTTTTGAAAGTCTTGGCTTTCTTGGGGTGTGTGTGTGTGTGTGTGTGTGTGTTTTATAACTTGACAATTTCTTTGTCCAGAGATATGTAAGTTCAGCAGAAGATGCAATCTTGATGCTTCAGTATTGCTATTTCTGGATTTGGTGTGAACTTTTACAGATAGAAAGAAAATTTAAGTCAATGCCTGAAATAGAATTCTTTCATTTCTTATTGTGGCTCAGATGGATATGTGTATAAACCTCTTGATTATCTACATAAAAGTGGGGAGGTAAAAAATTTATAAAGTGGCAGATAACATAAAACTCTTAAAAGTGCTTTTTAATGGTTTTAATGTGAAAGTATCTAATATTCTGGGAATTCTAATTAAATAAAATAATGAAGGCAGAAAACAGTGATGACTGCAGGAGATCTGTGAAGATGTCCTATCCCTCATTCTAATTATTAACCAATCCTTTAATCAAGTCTTTCCTAAAGTCCCTATACTAGGAATTGAAAGGTATTTTGGGGGAAAGTCTCGGTAAATGAGAGTAGTTAATTTTCTTGACTAAACGACTGGCTCAGTATATGCTATTATGTATTTAGTAGGTAGTAAAAGAAGTGGTATACATTTAATCAAGAAATAATAAAGATTATTATGATAATATTTTAAATTAGACTACACTGCAACCCTTGGTCTAGAGGAGTTCAAAGAACGTATCAAAATGCCATATTTACCTGGATTACAAAATTACCAAAAAAGTGCAAGTTCAGCTCCACTGAGGGTTCATAAGAGGCATGCTGATCCTGAGATGACTCCACTCAGGTATATCATTTCTATTCAATTTTCTTTTGCTGAATATTGATTTGTAGTAATATCACTGAATGTAGAGGCTTTTCTGATTAGTAAATTTAATTACTTCTTTCCTAATTTGTTTTTCAGAAAGGATTTAACTTTTTAAAATCTAAATTTAGGATATTCAGTTTGACAAGTAGATGCTTTTTTCTGTTTTCAAGCGACATTATTAAATGGATTTAGGATTTCCTTTAAAAACATCTTTATTCCCCTTGTGCAGATGGCCCATGAGAATAATGGAATTTTTAGCAAGAAAACTAAATGAAATCTCAGCAATATTAACAGGCTTCCAAACCCTGAATACAGATACTTGTATTTCATTTGTAGTTAAATTGAAGTAGTGTGGGGGAGATTCTGGATGAGATGTCAGCCTAACGAAGACACTGAAGTGACCATTGGAATGAATTCATCAGCCAGAGAAGTCCCACTGACTTTGAATACTGGAAATTAATAACATTATTATAAAGAACTTTCATCCTTGTCAATCCAACTGATTGACAAGCCATTAAAAGAAAACCCCCTTCTCCAAAATGATATATAAATCAATAAGATTGTTTCATATTCTATTTGGTTTCTGCTTTGGTTTATGTATCATCAGTTACTTAATTGAATGTACTTGTTCAGTCTGCCATTATAAAAAATAGAAAAATGAAGCATTTATACTAGTCTGAGTTGCAACTCTCTTTAGGGAGGATTTATATTTTCTTATTGTCTTCTGCCATAATAGCTTAAAGTTGTCCAGTTATATGTAGCATACAGTATTAGAATTCAGAATATATTTCTTGAGTTTTCCACTAGTATTGTTCATGTTAAATACTTGAAATAGATTCTGGTAATAAAGAGAACAAAACATACTGAAACTGAAAAAGTTGCAGACAAATTTTAACTAAATTATTAAAATAAGAACTTTGCAGAAAATTTGGAGGAAAAGAGAAAAACGATTACTTAGTAAAGATATGGATCTAACATACATTTTTTATTGTTGGGTCTTCCATTCTATGCTTCATTTTCATGGATTTTGAGTTGTGATTTTAGTGTAGTTATAATTTTTTATTTTACCTTTTGTTAACATCACACATACATTTTTCATATCATTACATAATCTTGAATCAGTCTTTACTGTTATTTTTCAATGACCTAGCCATAGTTTATTTAGCCATTCTTTAGTGCTGAATTTTTTAGTTTCTTTGACTTATTTTTTATAAATAACACTGCAACAACAGCAGCATAAGTAAAGCCTTTCCCTACATTTAAAAAATGTTATCTGAGAACAGATTGCCAAGCTATTTATTTATGAAAGGCAAAATTGCTCTTTCTGCAGTGAGATGATAATGAAATAAGGCAAAATCAGAGATAGTGGAAGAGAAATAGTCGGTTTCTAGTAGAGTAAATAGTAGCAGTAAAGAGGAGAAAAGGTAGGAAAGCAGAAACAGGAGGGACCATTGTGAGTGTAAGTATAAAACAACTTACTAAGAACAATGGCTCTCCATCATTACCAAGACCCATATCCTGGATACTCTGTACCATTTTCACGGGGAGAGTTACAGTATCTTCTGAGAAGGAGGTGGGTAAGAATAGGTAGGGCTGCCTCAGCAGTGGATTTTGTTATCAGTATAGACTAGTCTTGTTCCCTTCTTTTTTTAAATTAAACTAATTTTTTTAAAAAGATTTTATTTATTTATTTGTACAAGTACTGGGTACAGTGAAAAGCGCAGGAGGGTGAGAGAATTCACCAGAGCCAGAGATCCGGGGAGCATAACAGGCAGAAGGACAGAAGTACACTGCTGAGGGGAGCAGCGGGCTCGGCAGGGGATGGAACTGGCGCTGCAGAGGCAGCGGGCAGCATCGCAGCCCAGCGCTCAACCACTGCGCCAGCGGGGAAGCCCTAGTCTTGTTCCCTTCTTTCAATGCATATGATCACCTGGAAAGAGCCTGGAAACCTGCAAAGTACCTTCTAAATTAACCTACTGAGGGCCTCCCACGGTTGACGCAGGCGATTGAGCACCGCACTATGAAGCTGTGGGCAGCCTCTGCAGCGCCGGTTTCATACCGGCCAGCTGGCCCGTGAGGGTCTGACCCACATAGTGAGGCAGACCTCTCCTGTGTCACCTGCTGCTCCCCTCAGCAGTGTATTTCGTCAGTCTGCCTGCTCTGTTCCCCGCTCTGTCTCTGGTGAATCCTCTCGCCCTCCCGCACATCTGGTCTGTACCCTGGTTCTTGTATAAATAAATAAATAAATAAATCTTTAAAAAAAAAATCAACCTACTGAAACTCCTAAATTTGTCTTCATTTTGCTTCCTACTCTTTCAGTTTTAAATTTGGTTATGTAGGAAATGATTCTTCAGCGTTTTACTTTGACTTGACTGTGAATTTCCTTAAGTCAGTGAAGGATAATTTAAATACATTATATTCATATTATGACAAGTGTTCTTCATAATGGAAGAGTTGCAGTTAAGTGCCATAATGTACCATAAGTGCATTATGAAGTGCTTGGCAAAGATAAATAAATGTTAGTTCTTCTCTGTCTTTGAATCTAATGTCTTTATTTTAGCCATTCTAGGGAGAACATGTCAAGTTGCCAACAAGTATTTTATTCTCCTCTGCATATTGCACAGCATCCTATAAAAGACCACTCTTGGCAAAGCAGGGAAGTACTCATTTTTATTCACTTTGTGTACAAGCCCTTACTCTGTTTTTTCTCCTTATATTGTTAGCATGCAACTGAGGGGGTACACACATCCTAAACTGTTAAGGGGTGCATACTCTAAAAGGGATCAATCAAGTCATTCACTATAGAAAGGCAAAGGAAGTAGTCTCTTTGTGTGAATGATTTTTAATAGAATTGGTGTGCATAGAGAAAAAAGAAATAGTAATTTCCCAATAAAGCTTTGAAAATTACCCATCCCCTCATGGGCAAATGCCCAGACAAACAGACTTGACCCAAAGTGGGGCTACACTGAGGCATAAAACTTGCTACAAGGCTAGGCTACATTATGCAAAAAACACAAGAAAGGAGTTAGGGAGGTCCTAAAGAGCTGGACCAGAAGGAGAGACTCAAAATTCAAAACGTACCATGTAATCCAACATGAAGTCAAGGTAATGGGTGCCATTGTCTCTGCTTACAACCAGGAGCAGCCACCCATATGTCTCTCATCTACATGTCTCTCCCAAGTGTCTCTACATGTCTCTCCTCCATGCGTGTCCTCCAAGTTCCATGGTGCAAACTGAAGCTGGAAAAGCAAGAGAGCAAGAACACACATGTGCTCAGTGTTAAGCTAAGCATGGCTGCTTAACTCTGCCCCTAACCTAGCAGTCCCCATGCAGGAAGTCAGATTCATGGCATACTGGAATTTGTAATCCAAGCAGCTGCATGTAAATAGGGGTGAGGAAAATGGCACCTCTCCATCACAGAGGTGTACCTGTGTATACCTAAAATGTGTAAAATAAAATACTCATATTTTATTTTAAAAACTGATAAAATGATGTTTTTTCAATTTTTGTAAGTGATCAACATTTTTCAGGCATACTTTGGTAACACATTATTACCTAGTTGAAAATAGTAATCCTAGAGGTGAAGAACATTAAAAATTTTGGCTAACTTCTAAAGTTTAATATTGTTACAATAAATATGTATTTGCTATGGATTATGTAACCTACTGCAGATGTAGTTATGATATATTTCCTCTAATAATCTACTTATAGTCCAGGTCTACTTTGTCTAAGAAAAAGTATTAATTGTGACAAAATTCAGATTGGGGTGATTAGTAGGTAAAAAAAGTACACAAATAAGTGATTGTTAGTATTTAGTACACCCAGAATCCCTTTTAATCTAATCTTGATTTTCTTCCTCTTAGCACTGCCTGAATCATGATTAGTGATTTAAGATAAAGAAAAATTAAGATAACATTGATAATGGTTAACTATAGCACTCATCCATGAGTAAGATTTGTTAACAAAACCAAGATATTGAGTTGGTTCATAATTCTGTCTGATTGGATTATGGTGGAAGGAGTTTCCTTTCTTTAATTTCCCTGTGATGCCCTTCAAAAACTTTCATGGAAAGTATGCTCCTTGTCTGTATTTGTATTTTTAAAAATTAATGTCCCTTGCATTTATATAAAATTGCTTTATGATAATATATCATTTTTAGGATAAAGAAGACTAAGAAGACATGTACTGTTGTATCACTTCAAGAAAAATCAAAAGGTAAGTGGTACACCCTTTATCCCTACCATATGTTTTATTAGGGTGTCACATATCTTTTTTTTTTTTAACTTGCTTTATTTCTACGGACTCAGTTGTTTTTGTTTTGTTTCAGCTGTGTTTATTTTATAAGATTAGTGGATGTATGTTCACTGTATACATACCTTTATTATCTCAAGATCCTGGGATATCCTTCATCATTTCTAATGTGGCCATTGCAGTAGCTTGCAAACTGGTTTTCTTGTTTTGGGTCTCTTGCCTTTAAAATCATTCAACATGGTAAGAAAAGCTTAAAACTTTGGCCTGTACTCAAATCACTCTCTTCTTCATAATCAATGATACCTCATGACCTACAGATTAAAGTACAAACTCTCTATCTTGGTATTTAACCCTTTACCATCTTCTAATCTTTCTTTCCAACCTTATTTTCTAATTACACTTTTAGAATCCCATATCCTGTAACATCCAACTACAGACTCATTTATAAGCAAACAGTTTGAGTTGTAAAAACTGCTCTTAATAATTATTTATTCCTAAGTCCATGGTGACTAAGGAGTACCACGGTGTATTTCCACCATATCTGGACAACAGATTTGTCATTTGACCCTTTAAAATTGGACATTCCTATTTCCACATTTTTTATATGTTTGATCAGAATTATGTTTTTCAAAAATAGATACCGAAAGTCCTGTTGATCTAGGCAATTACACTTCTTAATGATGTCTATAAGCCTATATAGAACTTCCTAGCAGTACTGGTATCTGTATATGTACTGCTTCATTCCTTACTTTTATGTGTTATAGATTCATGGGAACATTATACTAGGGGAACCATATAGGGCATTAATATATTGCATAGGTCTAGCATTTAAATTCTCCAATAAACTCTTAGCCATTTCTTGAAACAATTTTACCTAAAGTTTAGTTGCAAAGATTCTTGAGCCATATAGTTATTAAAACTTTTCCATTTTGTCTTTATTATCTTTTGATGATTATGATCTAAACCAGAGTTTTTCAATGGCAACAGTATTAATCTTTTAGAAAATTCTTTGGGGTCTCTGTCCTGTGGCTTATAGGATGTTTAGTGTCATCCATGGCCTTTACTCAGTAGATGCCACCAATACTCTCCAAATGTGGCAATCAAAAATTTCTCCAGATATTGTCAAACGTACTTAGGGTGGCAAAATCACCCCCAGTAAAGAATTGCTGGTGTAAGCATAACAGCTTTAGCATTATGTTACTTATTCTTCAGACTGTCAAATGATTCATCTTTTATCTATGAGCAACAATGATTTCCTTATCAGGTTAAGATTATTTTTACAGAATTATTTTTTAATCACAATTATAATTGTCTTTTTCTAATGAATTCATCACTTCCATGATTTTGCATTTAAAAAATAAAGAAGTTAATAGAGTACCTCCAAACAAACAAACAAAATCCCCCCAAAATCACTAAGTAGTATCTTTATTAACATTGTTGCTAGCAGTCAGAATTGACTTAGTAGCTTTCCAAATTCGGTCTATGGAAATTCATAAGATTAAATGTTCATGAACTTCTTTTTGGGTATATCCTTTTTCTAAATTTCCATATACTTTAAACAAGTTCTATAATCAGCAGGCAACATAAAATTAAAATATGAATGTCAATTAATTTTATATAATTAAAAATAAGCATTACAGGTATTTTTATTTTAGTTAAATATTTTTTGAGATGACTTGTTATCACAGGCACTGATAATAAGTAGTGGCATTTTTACTTCAAAGAATGTGTTATAGGAAAGCTAGTTGTGTTTAACAGTCATTCAAGGAGCAGACATTTTCTTGTACTATGTTTTAGAGAACATCATTCATGTGTATTTAATTTAAATTTAATAGCTGACTTTTTCTTCACAGGTTCTTGTTTCAGAGATCCTCTCTCTGGAGCATCATCCCAATACTTAAAGAGACTGTCAAAAATGGCCATATTGGAGTATGACACTATTCGTCAAGAAACAACCAGAAAACCAAAAAAGGGCAAGAAACGAGAGCTGCAAGATTGCTGATAACCATCAGACAGCATAATGATTCTTCACTGATTGTTAAGGCTTATGTTTTTCCCCTTTTTTCTTTTTCTGATATGTGATATAATGTGCAATGATTTATATAAAAATGGAAATGAAAATAGGAAAAAATATTTTATACTAATGTATAGAAAAATTTGTATCTTGTTAATATCCATAAAAAGGCATTTCAGTGATGGCTTATGGGGTCATATGCAGAAGAAAAAAATTATATCCCATCAATTTTATGCATATTGATTATGTCTTTTGATTCAACTGCATGAATGTTTTTTAGTGCCTATCTGTACAATCAATCACCTTTGCTAGAAGGTATGGAGAGGTCAAGAAAGAATGTTAGGGTTAAAACTTGTTCAGTTAGAATGTCTTCTTTTCTCTGAGTTTGAAAACAGTTGTGAGGTAAGTATTCAAGCAGATGAAGATGAAAATATTAACTCTGCTGAAGTACCTGGAGGAAGAATCCTAGCTTAGGTGGGATTTTCCTAAACAATGGGCCTCCTAAACCTGACCAGCAGAACTGGACAAATGTACACACGCAAGTAATATGACACCCCCAGGCTTGCCTGCTGAATCTGGGTCTTTACTGCCAAGTAGAACAGGGTATCTCCACTGTGTAGACAGGCAAATCCCTGAGGGGAAAAAGGAGGTAGGAGAGACACTCCAGCTCTGTGGAGAAGAGGAGGGTGTAGGTCAAGACAGCCCCTCCTCCAAACTTGAGGAGTAGGGGGGATGTATTTGTCAGTAAGTACACCATTCCTTTATGCAACCTTGGTGTCAAAAGAGTAGAGGGTATATGACTCAAATGATAACTTGATAATATCTGATAGAGAACATTAAATGCCAAGCATGTAGTTACATTTCTCTGTTTCACAGTGGAGATTTAGAGAATGAAAGATTTGGAGAATACTTGTTTAATGATGAAGATTCATGTAGATATAATTTGTAGGCTAGATGTAATGAGATCAGAAGTTGGAAACCAGTTAGGAGATTTTTACAAAAATCAAGATAACAATCTCTCAGTAGAAAGGTAGAAACAGGAGGGTGAAGGAGGTACCAGATAATTAGGACATGGAGGCAAAAGCCTTAAGATTAACTAACTGGTTAGACTTTAAGATAGCTAAAGAGGAAGCATCAAAATTAGCTCATTTCAAAATTTAGAAACAAGAATCTCAGAAGGATATGCTAGTTTTGTGGACTAAGAGGGTGAACACAGCTTTGGGAATATTCAGTTTCAGTGGTCATCAGGATGTCCAGGTACAGATGCCAAGCAGGCAGTTGAAAAGTAAGTCTGTACTTCTGGAAAAAGATATTGACTAGTTAGAACTTTGAGAAATGTTTGCATAACAAAGACTGCATTTCCCCAGGTAAAAAGTAGAGAGTGAAGAGAGCAGAAATTCATTAGGATAGGAGGGAATAGGAAGAAAACAAAAATAGAAGGAAAAAAATCATCACAGATGTGTGAGACTGGTCATATTCCATGTCCTTGCATGCTTCATATGAATGTGTGAACGCACTGTTAATATGTGTTTTATGCATTATCATAATGCATTAGTTCTTAGAAGGGTAATTAAATAAACTTAAATAGATATATTTGTGGTTACATCTAAATTTGTTTGAGGATGATTTAGACAGTATCTGTACCTTTTCTATCTTCTGATCACCTCTTCCAATGAGTCAACAGCTTTAGTGGATGCAGGAGGAAAGTATTCTCTAATGAAAATTTGATGAATTATTTTTTGGATGAGCGCTTATGAATACCTTTGATTGTCAAATGAATTTTATTTCTTGAGCTTCTAACATGTACATTAAGCATTTAATATTATTTATAAACCTTATAAAACCCTGAAAACTAGGTAAGTGATATTATTACCATAACAGTGTGATCTAAGAAGAAAGGTTCCATATTCCCTGCCCCCTCTAATGAAGGATGGAGCTTAGCAGGTGAGAAGAACCTAGAAAAAATTGGGAGAAGAATCTTGTAGAGAGGACTAGAAGACTTGGAGGAGGCACTTGGAGCAGAGACATGTGAAGAAGAAGCTGTGCTTTCTTATCAGCCTTGAACTTGACACAGGGACTTAGGGAACATGGAAGGAGATGCTTAGAAGAGATATGGGTGGGTGATATTTATCTTGACTTGTACTTCGATTTTGCTCCTTTCCTTGCCCAGCTCCTTCTGCCACTTTCCTATAGATCCCCACCAGAAGGTTCCTTAGACTTGTGGCAAGTTTTCAGACCTCAGTGTCCCTGCTTTGGGCCAACCCTGTTTGGCTGGGCATTTATCCATGAGGGGATGGGTGACTTTGGGTATTTTATTGGAAACTATCCTTTCTTCTCTATTGCACACTAATTTTATTAAAGTTCTTTTCTACTGAAGGTCCTGTATATTAAGAATAATATTTGTCTTTAAGCAGTGGAGAGCAGAACCCATTTAGAGCATGTTAATATGGGGACCCCAGGGTGCCCCACATTCTGCCTGCTAACATTATTGATTTATAAATGAAGTAAAATCACAGATCTTTGTTTTATACAGAATCTTTAGCTAGAAAGCAGGAGAACTAGAATTCTAGTCTATTATGATTCCAAGATAATATATAAAAACTTGATGAAATGATAATTAAAAAACTTCAACTTTGTTGCGATATTATGGTTTAATTACTTAAAATTTAGGGGAAGCTAGTATTTGCACAGAGAGAAATATCTCCTAATATTGAATGGAGTTTCTGAGTTATGACACGAAAAGTGACATTACCAGAGTAGAAAGAGCCCCTTCATCTCCCTCATGAAAGTCTTACTTAAGCCAATTCGAGAAAGGAACGGAATGTTTATTTTTTTAAAAAATGAGATAGGTTGGCAGTAACATTTTGACAATGGAAAAAACTCAACAAATTTATTTACGAATGAAAAGAAACATTCTCATGAAAGCATTATGCGGGCCTCCCCGGTGGCGCAGCGGTTGAGCGCTGGGTTACGAGGCTGCCCGCAGCCTCTGCGGCGCCGGTTCGATCCCCGGCTGCTCCCCGGCCACCGGAGGCGGGTCCCACATGGTGCGCAGACCTCTCCTGCCGCCCGCTGCTCCACTCAGCAGTGTACTTCGGTCCTTCTGCCTGTTCTGTTCCCCGCTCTGGCTCTGGTGAATTCTCTCACCCTCCCGCACTTCTGACTGTACCCAGTGCATGTATAAACAAAACAAACAAACAAACCAGCAAACAAATAAATAAAGCATGCCTCTATTAAAAAAAAAAAAAGCATTATGCCAATTAAGCTTTTGACAAGGTATGCAAATTTGACAAGGAATACAAATTTTCAACCTTTGAATCAACCAGCTTCAAAAGAAGATACAAAGCTATTAAGACTTTGGTGGTATCAGGATACAAGCCCCTGCCCTTCCTGAATTGAGCTGTAAAGGAAGAAAGGTAAAGGCAAGATACTGCCTGGGGGCTGATAAAGCCAGCAGGAGACAAGGGAGAAACTGCCAATTGGGTCCACCATGCTGCCAATAATGACACCTTTTTAGCTTTAGGTTGAATTTAACTTATACTTTTTAATTAAATCTTAAAAAAAAAAAAAAAACAGGTTATAAGCATTCCTTACATTGTATTTACTCCTCATGAACTTTTTAGAAAAACCAACGTGTATTTAGTACCCAGAGACTCAAATTACTCCTGTCCAAGATAAACTCATGATTTCACGATTTAGAAATAAGGATGAGATACCAACTTTTGATATTTTATTTAGATCTATTTTTGGGATTGAAGACAATCTTGCCAGAAACAACCGATTTACATTTGTGATTTGGGTATTTTTCCAGTGGAAGCAGTGTTAATCATGACCTTGGGAAACTGTACCTTATGATAAATGTTTAGGTTGGGAAGACAGAGTCCTGGTATGAGGATGAGAAACCAGTTCTTTACAAAGAATAACCACTTCAGTGAAGGAAAAATCACTAGTCAATTATAGCTTCAAAGAAATTTCTTAAGACTCACTGCCTTTTCTCTAATTCCACACCCATCAAGCCACTTTTTTCTAATATATAATTTAGACTCCTGAGAAAATATAGTCACTAAAAGCACATGTTTCATTTTTAGCTCTAGAACAGGGAATGATAATGTACAGTGATTCTGATTCATAGTCTGTGGATTTGGTCAGTGTGAATTGGCACAAAAATCCAGATCATGCTGGTCAAATCAATGAATTGAGGGTCCTTTTTTACTAGAAAAATTACTTTAGTATTTTTTGAAAAACACAATTTTCAGGAGTTTCAGCAATGTAGAAAAGCAGAATAATGTTTAAAAAATACCTCAAATTGCACTTCACAAATAACATCAGTTGAACATCTTTTTCTGCATATATACAAATACTAAAAACTCCTATTAAGATGAAGTCATTTTATGCATGATATATTTAAATAAAATTATTCAACTTAATTTTACTGATATAAGAAAAATAAGCAAGTAAACTGAACACATTGCTAAAGCCCAAATGTTATTTAAAATATTGTATTATGCTTTGTAATCTGTATTTAGAGATGTTTTTAGATTTGTCACTGTATCCGGACCTTTTCCCCTAAATGATTCTTCTACAACAGGGCCTCCCTGGTGGTGCAAGGGGTTAAGATGCAACCCATGAGGCTATCCACAGCCACTGTAGAATGAGTTCAATCCCCAGCCAGGGAGCTACCCACATGGTGTAGCAGACCTCTCCTGACTTGCCCACTGCTCCCCTCAGCAGCGTATTTCAGTTGATCTGCCTGTTCTGCTCCCCACTCTGTCTCTGGTGACTCCTCTTACTCCCCAACACCTCTGGCTGTATCCCAGCTCTTGTATGCATAAATAAATAAATCTTTTAAAAAAAAATTCTTCTATAACAAACTTCTGGCTTTAATCTAAGACGTTTGTCAACTTAGAAAAACCTACGTAAAGATGAGTTAACTGACTCTGAAGGTGAGTCAACCAAAAAACTTCTGGATACTATCTTTTTTTTTTTTTTTTTTAATTTTTTTTTTTTTTATAGAGGCATGCTTTATTTATTTATTTGTTTGTTTGTTTTTTGTTTATACATGCACTGGGTACAGTCAGAAGCGCGGGAGGGTGAGAGAATTCACCAGAGCCAGAGCGGGGAGCAGAGCAGGCAGAAGGACCGAAGTACACTGCTGAGGGGAGCAGCGGGTGGCAGGAGAGGTCTGCGCGCCATGTGGGACCCTCCTGTGGTGGCCGGGGAGCAGCCGGGGATCGAACCGGCGCTGCAGAGGCCGCGGGCAGCTTCGCAACCCAGCGCTCAACCGCTGCGCCACCGGGGAGGCCCTGGATACTATCTTTGTTGCAGGGGAAATTTAAGCATTAGTAGAAGACAGAAACCTCGGGACTTGGATGGAATTCTCTATAGCTGGCCTCAGTTTCACTTCTTCACTCATACTTAAATAGGGTTATTTCTATGTCTACTGAGGGACAATAAGTCACCACACCAAGAGCTAATTAACTCTTTTGCAAAACCAGTTTAAGCCTTTATAACAACAAGGGGACAAAATGTTGAAACACACACACACACACACACACATACAGAGAGAGAGAGAGACAGAGAGAGAGAGAGAGAGAGAATCTTCTGCAAAGGTTTTCAAATGTAACCATGCATCCAAATCCCTAGAAGAGCTTGTTAAAATGTAGATTTCCATAGATCTGATGTGTTCAAGAATCTACTCTCAAAAAGCTCCCAAGTGATACTGAAACCTCTGATCCATGCACCACTCTTTGAGTAGCTTTCTTTAGAATTATCTACACTTAGAGTCTCCTGGAAAATTTTTGAGACAGGCCATTGTCCAGGCTCTACTCAGGAAGATTCTGATCTAATTGGTTTGGGGTGGTCTCTGAACATGGGTTTTTTTTTTTTTTTTCATTTTAGATATTTTTGCATTTTTCTTTTTTTTTAATTTTCTTTTTTAATATTTATTTTCTTACATCATTGTTCATTTTGGACAGTATTTGATTTCTCCATTCAGGTACAATCCCTGTAGTTCTCCCACAACCACAGCACCCATGATCCATCATCACAGTCCCTTGTGTTCTTCTCTCCCCTGTTTTGACTCCTTTCCCACCCCCTCCCTGCTGTATGCCTTTGATCTACGGTCAGCTTGCAAGTTTTGTCTTCTGTCTGACCCTTCTAAACATGAGTAATTTTTAAAAACTTCACAGTGATCGTAATGTGCCTGTAGCTAGTTCTGAGAGCTACTATTCTAAAGTTGACAGATTATGAAAAATATCAAGAGATGAAAATGGCCATTTTTCTTCCCTTCAGACCTTCATGGAAATTATTACATTGTGTCCTGGCATTAATTGTTGCCTTAGACAAATCTGATTCTTCACAACTTTTTATTCCTTGTAGATATTTTGCAATTTCTGCATGGTCATCTGAGGATTTTCAGGATTCCTAACCAGACCAAACCTAAACAAACCCTGGAAATCTGGCTCCAGGATCAAGGCTATGAAAGAGGAAGGGTGTGGCATAGGGAGCAAAGGGATAAGGGGGCCTAATGGACTATGATAGGGAACTATGGGTGCCTTGGTGCTGGGTGTGGTTTGGTAACATACATCTGAAAAAGTGTGAACCTATACCCCAGCTCATAGACA